TCTGTAAACCGCTTAGAGAGGGCTGAAAGCCCTATGAAGCGGTATATAAGCCTACTGCTATTGCAAGGCACCTGAGGGTAGAACAAGAAGCAATGGGTGGAAACTAATCAAGGAGAGAGCAACTTAGAACTGAGGAGAAATTTCCTGACAGTTAGAACAATTGATCAGTGGAACAGCTTGCCTCCAGAAGTTGTGAATGCCCCAACACTGGAAGTCTTTAAGAAGATACTGGATAACCATTTGTTTGAAGTGGTATAGAGTTTCCTGCCTAAGCAGGGAGTTGGACTAGAAGACCCCCAAGGTCCCTTCCAACTGTTATTCTGTTATAATGACCATGGCAAATACAAGTGAAGAACATGGGGATTAATTCTTACACTCTGGTTGGGAGAAGATGTCCACTTGTGTGAATTTCTTTTAAGATTTTTGAAAACAAAATAGAAGATGCTTCTTTCTAGCCTCATGGTCATGGAAAAATAATTGGATGTGTTAGTTTCATTTTTTCTTTCATTAAAGGCAATATTTACTCATCAAGCACCATTTTAACTACCATATTGGGTGTCAGAGTCTTCCTTTACAGATACCATAAGGCCATTTTCAGCCTCAAGAAAGACAATAAAGAAAAGAAGTGAACAAGCTATGCCAAAGTCTGCCAAAGAAATTGAACAAAGAAAGAAATTATGTTTACAAACAGATTAGCTAGTACTTCATCCCAACAGGCATTGCCCTTTTCATTATTGTTTTCAACTCATTACTAAATTGTACTAGTAATAGTATATAGCATCTTTAGGGGACAATGGAAAGGGAAGAAAACTAAGTGGGGGAGCCTTGGTGCCTCTGAGCTTGGTTGTTTTCTTGCAGATGTTTCATTATCCAAACTTGGTAACATCACTGGTGCTAATAAAGAATGGGCTTTGCTCTCTTTTTATATTTATATTTATTTTATATAGGCAGTCCTGTCAGTGTTGATGGAAATGGCCTTGATAGTTCTTTGGTTGGGCTGTTTTACTGTTAGCTTCTTTGGCAGTTCCTTGTTGAGGATATTGTTTGCTTCTTGGTGGTTGGTCTAATGTTAATCTTGATGTTATTTTATGCTCCTCTGGGTGTTGAAAGCTAAGTGGAAATCCTGCTTCTATGCTTGTATCCATGTATAGGGATCAAAGCAAGAGTATTTCTGTTTTGCACCTCCTTTTTTATGCAAACAGTCTACCGTTCTCTTAAATTGTTCTTAAGAATGCAACTGTAGTAACCACAAGGAACACACATTATTTCAGGGGCCCAGAAATATCTCTGGGGCTCCTGCCATGTCTCTAGACTTTAAAGAAGCAATCTTTTTGTTGCCTTTTCTAAATTTTATTTAAGGAATCTGAAACAGCCTTAGCAGTCTGGGCACAGGGAACATTATTGCAACAGGATTGTTCAACTTGTTTCAGTTCTTGTCCCCAACTTCCTACAATTTGCTGTGTTTCCTACAGTTGCTGAGCTGAAAATCCTGGGTTCAGAATTTTGCACTCTGTAACCGATCTGGTAGGATTCTCCCTCCCCCCACAACCCCCTCTGACGCTTTCTCTCTCTTTCTAGGGTTGATTTCTCCAGGAGTGTCAGTTCCTGTACAAGTCCCAGGTGGGGATTCTGATCTTGCCCAGTATTGGCCACGACTGCAATGAGCACAAAAGTGGTGGAGGAAATAAAGCAAACAAGCAAAAAGGAAGGAAGGTTAATGGAGAGAAAAGGGCTTTTCCTCTGCAGGGGGAAATACAGGAATGGTGAAAAACTTTGGGGGGGGGGGGATGGCACACAGGGAGAGCTTCCCTGCCCTTCCCTCTTTGTGTCTTTAAGTTAGGCAACCTCATCCGTCTTGGTTCTAAGGCAGGGTTTTTTTTCAACCTTGGTAACTTTAAGAGTTGTGGACTTCAACTCACAGAATTGCCCAGCCAGCATGGGGAATTCTGGGAGTTGAGATCTACACCTCTTGAAGTTGCCAAGTTCAAATAACGCTGCTCTAAAGCTTCTCTTCAACTTTGTGTGTGCATCTACAGCCGCTCTATGCCCAGTTGGCATTCTGCCCCATGAGCCTCCTCTTCTTGTTTGGCTCCAGAGATATCTGCAAGGCCTGGTCAAAAAAGTCAAAATGGAGGCCAAGCTTCAATCACGGTGCTGCATACTCCATCTTGACTTTTTTTTTTTTAACCAGACCTTGCAGATGGCCTGTTTGCCTTCCAGCGAGAACAGTGCGAATCACAACAAAAAACAGGTCTGGAAAGAACTGGAACATCTTTGGGGGGAATCCAGCATAAAGGATTTTGGGAGGAGGGGAGCAAAGAGAACTAGTGCCCCTTGCAGGAATAGCTGCAAATGGCAGGAAATGAATAATGAATAAAAGACAGTAAGTCCAATATAAAAAAAAGTTGGAACCTTGGACAGAAATGCTTAGTAAAAGCTTGAAAAAGTGGCAAAGATATTCATTCATTCATTTACTTCCTTACTATTTATTTATTTGACTTCTGATTCCCACCTTTCAATGGGAATCACAGGATGCAATGGGAAGCACAAGAATGTTCATGGGAGGAAAAATATACACCCAATCCTCTTTTGACCTATTGCAAAAGCGTGCAGGAAACCATAGAATTCCTATTTTGGGCAAGTTTTGCAAAGGGTTGTGAGGATGAAAAACCCTCCTGTAGTATTGTGGGAAAATTAGGTGGTGCATACTAATTTACTTCATTGATGTGTGATATCCAGTGTTTTGGATTTTTTTTTCAAAATTGCCCTTTAACCTATGCCTCATAACTTAGTTTCTGCTATCTCCTCAGCCCCACATATTTTCTTTCCTGCATGCAATTCATTTAGCAGAATTTTACATGGATCCCAGAGCTTGGGATATTTGCCCTCCCTCTCTAACTACTTACACAAACACACATACTACTTGTAAGTTCACACTGTTTCATGTGTGTTAATAAAGGACCTGTGTATATAATACTCCATATGTGTGTGTGTGTTGTATGTGCACATGTATGCATGCACATGTGAACAATACAGTCACATCACCCAGTTCTAAGCAATATGGTCTAATTCCAGAACTGGGGTAGTGAGGTAGAATGGGAAAGATAAGAGGCTAGGCAGAGGGAGAGGATGTATTATTACAATGCAAAGATGCAATACACATCAACTTTTCTGCAAGTGAATTCCGTTTGATATTTAGCTTTGGATGTTGTGGAGGAGATTTTAGAACCTGTCTGTTATAAAATAGTGTTAAAGCTGCCTCTTGCTCTCTCAGCTTTTTCCAGTGTCTCATGTATCAGTTTATCAAGAATGCTTTCTACTGTATTGCCCTACCTTTTGTTCAGCAAACATGTCCCACCTTGGTCTCTCTTGCTTTTAGTAAGGCCTGTGGTTTGGGGTGCTGATGAACAGAGAGAGCTGTGTGTCTTTGGGCTCTAAACCACATGAAGATTGTTGTTGATTCAAGACACAGTAAACTTCTGTGCATTTCTTAAAGGGCTGAGCAATTGTAATCTGCTCCAGATTTTTTTTAAATAACAGAAAACAAGAATAAACGAGGCAAGAAAAAAGCTATGAAATTATGCAAAGACAATAGGCTTGTATTCAGGATGAAGAGCAGAGGTCTAGGGGATGAAGGAAGGAAGATACAGAACTCAAATATTTTTCCTGTGTTTAAGTGTTAAGGCGAGTCCAGCTCACACAAGGATATGATGACCTCACACCAGAGATTGGACGCAACAAGAATAAGAGAGAAAACCCACTGTTATCTCGCTACAGAGTTCTGAAGTGGGGGTGCGGGTTTGGCAACCCAATGGGCCTCCAGACATTATTCATCATTAACTTACTGTGGCCTCTGGGAGTAGGGAGTCCAATATTAGAGGGACAAGTGGAATAATTTTCTTCCTCTTTATATATTCCATTTCCATATCTGATTTTAAAAAATAGAAAGAACCCTACAGATCAGTGGTGGGTTACAACTGGTACGCCCCGGTACCAGATGCCGGGAGCACCAGCTACCGTCCCAGGGCCCACCTGCTCGCCGGCACTCCTTACCGGTATTTGAAGTTTTGGGGGCTTCTGCACATGTGTACGGTGCCTGCACGACGCTCTGCCAAGCAGCTGGAGCGTTGCTGGCGGTAAGTACACGTGAAATACATGTGCGTGCATGCGCGCTGCGCGTGTTCATGTGGTGGCCATCTGTCCCTGTTCCACTGTACCGGTTGCAATGGAATCCGGAACCCACCACTGCTACAGGTCTACTCCTTTGTGAATTGCGAACAATGCACCCAGTCTTTTTGGTAGCATATGGGATGGGAAGATTAAAAAAAACATTAGTGAAATGTCTTTCTTGCATTAGAAATTAACCTCTCATCAACATTGAGGATCTTTCCGCCGCATAAGGCATTGGGCTGTTTCCTTCTGATTCTCATCTGTAAAATAGGCATCTCCAATGAAAGTGGGAGGGAAGCATTATTTTTTGGGAAAGCATCATACGTTTTAGTGAGCATTGTGTTAATTTTTTTTTCCTGGGCTAAATGATGTTCAAGGCCTTAGGTGACTGGTTAGGTGCCATACTCTGAAAATAGTAAGGACGGGATAAAAAGTGAAATCGATGTTAACATTTACATATAATTAAATATATTAATTTTATATTGATAACTTTGAATTAGGCTTAATTTGACCTGGCAGGGTTTTTTTGTTTTTGTTTTGGTTATAAGGGTAAAGTGAGGAGAGACCATCCATAAAATTCATTCTGAACTCCCAAAGAAAAATGAGACATGAATGCCACAACATATTTTTTTTTTTAAAAAAAATCTTTATCATTCACAATTTCAGATATAGGTTGGGGAACCTCTAGGGATCTTGCTCAAGATTTTTCAATATCATATGTATTCCTTAAGATTATGCATCTCTCTTTTAGTCCAATTAATAGTTTACATGTGCACAGGAGAGGTGGGTTCCTACTGGTTCGGACAAGTAGGTAGTAACTCGGCTGCTCACGAACCCAAAACGGTTCTATTTGTCAGTGGCACCATCTTGATGTTTGGTTCTGCACAAGCACAGAACAATCTCCATTGCAGAAATGTAATTCTCCCCCCTTTTCTAACATGTGTGCAGAGAGTGCATTTGGCGTGTGCACAAAATTGTTTGTGCGCCAAACCAGCAGTAATGCCAGTAGCAACCCACTCCTGATGCACAAGCACATATCTTTATGTTTTGCATTTTTATTAGATATGTCCTGATTTCTAATGGAGCTGAACCAGTTTCCCATCTATCTATTTTTCCAAGAACTTGTATTACAAATTACTAACAAATTTTAAAAACATGCTTAAATAACTGACAATGTTTTCTTTGAATATATATACTGTTTTAAACTGATTAATGCAGCTTTTCTTAATCTGATGCCTTCTGTGTATTTAATTATAAACCTCCATGCTAGTTTCGCTCTCCTTCAGCTAACTTTTTGCCAAAGACCTTGGTAAATACTTGTGAACCGGCAGGGTTCTCATCAATGCTTCCTTATCTCCCAAAGTCACAGCATGTCCTCAAAATTGTAAATGATACAACTGGAGATGTATTAATCAACAAACTTATAGCAAATTAATGTCATACTTCTAGTAATTTTCCTCCAAGGTTATCACTGCAATCCTGACTGATGTGAATTCTGATCAACAAATGTAATATATCTAACGTTTTAATACCTAAGGCACAAAAGCTATAGGTGTAGTCTTCAGTATAGGTAGGAAAAAATATTGAATCTGGATATGACTCACTCTGGGTATGGGTTGAAAGAAATGGGAATGTTGCTTGTCCCAATTCAATATTCTTCTTTTTCCTTTGTAATAGCTGCAGACGTACTATAATATGCAAAGTTATCCTAACATTGCAGCTCTGTGCTGGTGGGGAAAATACACTGCATCGGTTGAATTATATCTGGGCACAAGTACATTATAGACAGATGGCTGGTAAAAAAAATATGGTCTTCCTTTAAAAATGGGCACTAGGAGAAGGTAGTGATGATGGCAACAACCCAGATTGTGGATTCCCAAATTATGTCCACACTTGAGCCAATTTTCTTGCCAAGGAAATGTGGTTCTGTTTACTAAGATTTTTTCTCTCTCTCAGCGTTGGCTCTGTTCTTAGTTCCTGTTTATTCAGAGACCCCACCCTCTCCCAAGAGCTAGTATGAGAACCACAAACCACCGCACCCTCCTGAGATTGGAGCACCTGCAAGGAGGAAGTGGTTGGAGGCAGTTGGCCAAGGGTGTGGGATGTATTTTTGAGCATCTGCCAAGATAGGCTGGAGGGGGGAGGTGGACAACAGCAGGGATTGGGTACCAACTCCCTCAATGGCATCGACTTCAGTTGGAGCTACCGTAAATAAGGGTGAGACAAATGTGCCCTCTGCTTGCCCTCTTGAGTTACTGGAGCAGAGGTTTATGGGTAAAAAAATCTGCTGGATGATTTGGTAGTAGATTTTAAAGAATAAGTCTTTTAAACCCAAAAACCAGTATAATGCTCTATTTCAAGAGTAGACCACTTGGCTACCAGTGAGGGACTATCACAATCTTCTCCTCTTCCTCCTCCTTCAATCATATGAATGGAAGACTGGACCCAGGTCTGCCAGGAGGTCGATATTCCCATTAATAAGCAAAACAAAAGA